TCTAGTGTTGTGAAGAAGCCATTTGGAGGTAAGAAGGAAGTTGGTGTTGTCTATGGTCAGAAAATCTGTAGCAAAGTTAATCGCCATGAGTCTGTGGGAGCAGTTTTAATTTCCAACCCGACACCTGCCCAAAAATAACAGTAGGGTAACTGTCAAAGGCCAGACACTCCAAGATGGCAGTTTACTAAGATTAATATGTCTTTATCTTAGGCACTGCAACACTTTCTAAAAGCTAAGCTCATTTCTCTGTGGTATCCTCCTCAGGATCCCAACACCTTCTCTCCAAAATATAATCTGAATGCAAGGTGTGCTTATCATTCAAACAGTCCTGGTCATGACACCGACCATTGTTGGGCCTTGAAGAGAAAGATCCAGGACATGATTGACAACAAGGAGATTGAGTTCGATCCTCTAGAGACTCCAAATGTAATTACAGCACCTATGCCCAAACATGATAAAGGCGTAAGTAATGTTGAAGATATTTCGTATGTCATTTTTGTGAATGACGTGGTTACTTCGCTCTCCATAATAAAGAAGAATTTTCTACAGGCTGGTTTATTTCCAGGTTATGTTGAAGGTTGTTATTGTTGTGCAGTCAAATCCAATGGATGTAGATTATTGAAGATACGTGTTCAACGTTTGATGAATGAACATATTATTCTGATTGAAAATGTTCCGTCCACCAATAATTTTTGCCAAGATCTGTCTGTTGTCTCTGGTACTCCTTTTAGGATCCCTTCCAAAGGTCCTATAAGGATTACCGCCAATCTGAAAGCTTCTCCATTGGTCATTACAACTCCCGGGCCTATCCTGTATTACTCAAATAAAGCAATTCCTTGGCACTATGGATCTGACGTCTATTACCATGGCATCAAACATGAATTATCCAATGAAGAAAAAGAAGAAGTTGATCCTAGTATTGTTAATATTGCGGGGACCAGTAAGATTACAATAAGTGGAAGGATTTTCTCTCTAGAAATCTATCCACATGCTCATATTATAGTATCCAAGACGACTGTTGGGGCACAGGGTAAAGAGCCAGTGATAGAGCCTTCTCGGACGTAGGCTCCAAAAGAAGCTCTTGTCAAAGATAATTCTAGAGAAGATTTAGAAGAGGTTATGAAGATTATTCGCCGAAGTGATTATAAAATTTTTCGAACAGTTGGGGCAGACCTCATCCAAAATATCTATGTTGTCATTACTGATGTGTTCCGAGGCCCATGGGAAGGCTTTAGTGAAATTCCTAAGAACTGCTCATGTGTCGCAGGAAATTTCGACACATCAATTTTGAAGCTATGTGGCTAGTCTGAAAACTGACAATGGCTTGGGTTTCTCCGATGTTGACTTGACTCCGAAGGGGAGGAATTACAATAGGGCCTTATACGTATCCATTGAGTGCAAGGGTACTACATTGTCCCATGTATTGATTGAACATGATCATTTCTGAATGTTCTGCCGAAAGGCGCTCTCGATTGGTTAGATTGTGAACGGTTGGTGCTAAAGCCCAGCAATATCATAGTTCGAGCCTTCGACCGATTGAAATGAATGGTGCATGGAGAGGTGGACCTCTCGATCAAGGTGGGTTCATAAATTTTTGAGTCCACTTTCTATGTCATGTACATACGACCTGCTTACTCTTGTTTACTGGGGCACCCTTGGATACCATGGGGCAGGTGCTGTCACTTCCACCCTACACCAGAAGCTGAAATATCTAGTAAAGGGGAAACTTGTTACTATTTGTGGATAGGAGGAATATAAGGTCAGCCATCTCAACTCATTCTGATATGTCGAGATGGATGGAGAATTCATTGAAACGCCCTGTAAAACAATTGAAGTAATCTCTCTCGCTGCTGTTAAAGATGTCTCAGCCATTCTGAAGATCACCAAAGCTCCGCATAAGATGGCCTCCCTGAAAGATGCAAGGGCTGTGATTGAAGAAGGTGATAGTACAATTTGGGGCCAGCTTCCTGATATCCTCTATAAATCTAACAAGTTTGTCCAGGGCTTTAATGCAGAAGGTCAAAGAGTTATTCGACACGCTCGCTGGGAGACCTCTGTTCTGCATCAGCAACAACGGGGTCAATGCTATAGAGGATGCAGACTGTGATTGTGACTTCAACAACTGGATTTTCCCTACTATCAGTGATGAACTGGATAACTGGAAGGCAGAAGACGTGTTCCCTATCTCTTTCATCCAGGAGTAATGGCTATATTCCTGTTTTTATTGCTTTAAAAGTTTTGGTTATGTAAAATTTGAACAATGACTTTAAAACCTTGTGTCTTATCCGGGGCACAATGGTTCATTTGTTAAGAGTTGATTAATTCATAAACATTAGCTCATTCAACAAAAACATTGGACGTTTTGCATGAAAATTTTGTGATCCCTGTCTTTCTTTTTATCTTATTGCATTTTTCAAAATAGCTATGTGTAATACGCTGGTAGAACTGACTTGGTGTTTTGCGTTTTATCGTAATTGTTATGGATAGAAAGAGTCGCTACTGACTTTTCTTTTATCCAATAAAGGAAAGGGTGAAAAGAACAGGAAAGACCTTTTGAGAATTTTTCTTGAGTTCGTGTGGTAGGTTATGAAAACGGAAGGTGTTCGCATCCTTTTCATCCGTAGTTATTTACGGGCTCTTAATTTCTAGCTCACTTTGAAATGCTTTGTATTTGTGTAGGTTTTTGAAAATATTTTGAAAACGCCTTCGTGCGGAAAACTTTGTAATGATTCTCGTATCGCTGAGAATGTATATAAAGTTTTGGTTTTGAAAATATTTGTTGATTGAAAAGTGTTTGAAAGATGTTTTTGAAAGTGTGAGGTGTGAAAATTGTTTTAATTTATGAGCAAGCAATTATGAGCAATTTACCGACTCAAAAAGTCTCTGTTTTTTTCCTCCTCCTTTAGATAGTGCTATCCTACCATTGATTAATAGGAAGCCCTATTATTGGATGTGAGGGACGAGTGTGGGTCATCGTACAATCATAGAAGACAACTTATGAGACGCTTTAGCAATTGTTATAAGAGACTAAGATCATTTTACCGAAGGTAACATCGAAGGGTCATCGAGGGACTACGATCTTTTTTAATCAAGGGTCTTTGCTAAAGCGTCCCATATTCGTGGGACATGCCTGTTTTTCCGAGACAACAAGCGAGGTTATCCTAGTGGTGCGCATGTAAAAACTGTGTTTGATTCAAGTTTAATTTGTCTTGATTAGGGTTATCTAGCGGTTGATCTTAAATCTTCCCATACACGCCTACTTACTATACAGTATAAGGAAATGCGGTAAAGTGCGAAAAATGGAGTTCTACACTATTATAAAGCTTCGGGAATAGGGGTACAAATTTATGAATTGGGATGAAGCAAAAAGAGCCTAGTTAAACTATTTACAAACCGTAAGCAATTACAATAATCAAAAGAATGCGGAAAATAGTAAACTACGAGCAAATGAAAAGAGAAAGGAAATTGTTTTTTTTTTGTTGTGTTTTTGATAGAAAAGAAAGTAAAAAATGTAGAATAAAGATGTAACTAAAACAAAAGTTATTTAGACTAAATTAAAATTCTAAGAAAAATTAAAATTCTAAAATTTACTAAATTAAATCTAAGTTAAATTAATTCTAAGGCTATCTAAACTAACTTAAATCTAAAATAAGTTAATAATAAATTTACTAATTTAAAGTTAGACTAAATTAATCTTAAGATTACTAATTTAAATCTAAATTAAAATCTAAATTCTAAGAGACTAAATTAAAATTCTAAAATTATTAAATTACATTTAAACTAAAAAAAAATTTAAAGTTATTAAATTAAACTAGACTAAACTAAAATTCTAAAATTATTAAATTAAACTAGACTAAACTAAAATTCTAAAATTATTAAATTAAACTAGACTAAACAAAAATTCTAAAATTTTCAAATTAAATTAGACTAAACTAAAATTCTAAAATTATTAAATTAAACTAGACTAAACTAAAATTCTAAAATTATTAAATTAAATTTAAACTGAAAAAATTCTAAAGTTATTAAATTAATATAAATTAAATAAATAAATAAATAAGCTAAAGTTAATAAATTAATCTAAATCAAATAAATAAGGGTGGTGTTAAATTAGAAAATAGGGTGTAGCAGTAGCAATCCGCATGAGCTTAAAACAGCAGGCCCAAGGTGGTTCTCTTAATTATAGAACAAATAAAAAAAAACAAAATAATGGATGGAGCAGCAAGGATTTGCAGATTGGGCTTGGGATGCTTGTTTAGTGGAGGCCTAATGTATTATTGTTTCAACAAAGGCTGTTAAAATGGGATTAAAAAAATGGTGGACCTGGGCTGAACCGGGTCGACCCAAGGTCCACCCCTTTCTTCAAATTAACAAACGGGTTTGAAAACCCTAAAAGAAAAAACAAAATAACACTCTTCATCTTTCTCTCTGTATTCTCATTCTCTTCTCTCAACTCACTCTCTAAACGAACAGAAAAAATGATGGTGGCTGGTGGAGGAAACCGTCACCTTCTTCGGTGGGACCTCATAGGACCACCTCAAAATAACCAGAACCCGACGTCAACCCCCCCTTATATTTTAGCATAGAGCTCAAATATAACCCTAGATTTTTTAGATTTTCACTCAATTCATCGGATCGAAACAATTCCCAAATCAAACCCTATATGTACAGGCTCAAATAAATAAGCAGAATAAAGTATGAAATAGATGCAGTAAAGTTTTATGAGCAAGAATATCAAAGCAAATCAACAAACAAAAAAAACACAGTGGTAAATCGGATCTTCCAGAGGACTCAACCTTGAAGGCAATCTCAGGTACGAACGAGATTTATGCTTCTTTCTTCTACTCTAAATCCCTGATTTGTTTCTTTTATGAATCTATACTTTTTGATTAGTTGTTGTGTGTTGTTATGTTCATTCTTCTTTCTGTGGACTTTTTTGTTGGCTATTATGTACGATGTTATTTTTATGTTTGTGTTCTATTGTGATTGTGTGCACGTTGAAAATGTTATGGATTGAATTTCGGTTTAAGAGATGGATAGGGTTCGAGATATGGTTGACGGGTATGAAGGTTACAATGCGGTTTAGGTTTATTGCAGCGAGGTTTAGGTCTGTAAAATTGGTGGTGAAGGATTGGAGATGGTATAGAGATGTAGAAGGTTTGATTTAGTTTTTTTGATAGAGATTTGATAACAGAAGTTTTGTAAGGTAATTGATGTGTAAGAGCAGCAGTTGGAGAGTGTATTCATAGATGAGAAAGGGTGTAAATTTGGGGGGAAATTGATAAATTTGAACTGTTTTGGCTACTCTTTTATTGCTTTTTTGAATCAGGTTTTTGCTTTGCTAATTTTGTGCAATTGTTGAGCTGATATGGTGCAGGTTTGAACATGTTTAGGGACAGCAAGACATGGTTGTTTTGCAGGGCAGCAACAATGGTTGTTTTTTCTATTTTGATGCATATTTATGCTTTTCCATTTTTGTGCAATCTTTGTGTAGGTTTGGACTGTTTAATAGAAGGTTTTGGACATTAATGTGCAGTGGGCAGCAGGGCTGATTTTGGACAGCAAGGTGCAGAAGCAACATGGTTGTTTTTGGACATGGAGGGCTAGGTTTAGGATTAGTTTAGGAAGATAAGGATTTGGTAATTTTTGTATTCTTTGAGTTTGAACCATTATGAAACCAACATCTTTCTTGGAAAACTAAGGCTTGTTAATATACTTTTAAATTTTAGGCCTTATGGAATTTGAAATATCTTTGGGACATAAAACTTGAGCTGTCTTGTAACAAATGTAGAAACTATATGAATTACTTGAATCAATTTCCCTTGAATGAATATGCATGGCTAAAAACATGTCTTGTAGCTTCTTTTACTTTCAAAATTCAAATATATGGTAGAGAATATTGGCTTTTCTCCAAGTAATGAAACAAAAGAATTTTCCCTCTATCTTGAATTTGAAACTTGGAACCATGTCTTTGAAAAATGATGAATGTTTTTGCCTTTGGTGACTTGAACTCGAAATAATTCTCATGAATGGACTTGGAAGAATTTGAATTAAATTTTAACATCTCATTACTTAAATCTCAAGAAATCCAAGTGTCTTTCTTTTTTTACCCTTGCAAGTTTGATGAACGGGTTTAAATTTAATCATAAGAATAAATTTCTTGAGTAAGCCATCATAGCATGGATTGAAATTAGAGGTTAAAATCACTGAGTCACAAAATGACCCATAATATTTTCAACAAGTTCCATGGCCTCCTAAGCACAATTTTGACTTTGATTCCTAAAGCAAACTGGTATATGACATTCCTCGTGACAATATTCAAAAATAATCATTTCAAGATGTTTAAAATTGAGGAGTTTACGGTCCTTGAAAGTCAAGCAACAATTACTTGAGATTAGGTCAAAGTCCAGAAAGTGACCTCTAAAGTATTCAAATTTTTGATGATCTTTCGCACATAATCGGTTCTTGACTTGTAAAGAGAAGTTGGAGATGACGTCAAGGAGAGTCATACGCAAAAAGAACCACTAAAAAATATTGAATAATGAAGATGTTACAATTGTTTGAACTTGATCTTGAAAATGTTGACTTTTTTGTCAATACAATTGATTTTCAGTCATCCGAGCAATTGACTGAGCGAACTTGTGATGCAAGGCATGAAATTTGATATGAGCATTCTTGAATACATATGAAGCACCATGAAATCCACTTGAGATTTTAGAAACCCAATCTTGCTTGAGAAATACCAAACCCTAGTTGTGGAACCAATGTTTAGAAGGAGAATTTGTCTGATTAATTCTTGAGCCACCTTGAGCATTTGAGAAACCCTATGAGAATATCATGAATGAAAAAATGGGAGGGAAAATTTTTCGGTACAACAGTTGCCCCTGTTCAATCTTCTTAAACCTGAAAAGTTAGACTGGCATGTCCGCCATTCGTGACTTGAAGGTAGAAGATGATTGAACACTTAAGTGCCCAGAAATTTGCACTCGCGTGTGCAAGGAGTAACATTGTCTGTTGATTATACTGGGAATGTGATTAAAGATGCCATTTGGAGAGGTGACGGAGAGTTGTTAGATATGGGCTTATAGATGCCATCCAGGATAGTCACAGAATATTGTCTAAGATCGGCTTATAGATGCCATCCAAAGTAACTGTTGATAGAAGCGTCAGAATGAGTCTAGGCTCGACTGTATCTGAAGAAGCATCAGAATAAATCTATGTTTCATTTAAACTGAGCCCAGAAAGGTCTATTGGGAGAAGTATCAGAATAAACCTTTGGTCGATTTAATTTATGCCATAAAAAGTATCAACTGGAGGAAGTATCAGAATAAATCCCTAATCGATTTAAACTGAGCCAGAACATGTTTTTGTCTATCTTTAACTGGGAGAAGTATCAGAATAAATATTTGGTCGATTTAATTTGATCCATAAAAAGTATCAACTAGAAGAAGTATCAGAATAAATCTTTGGTTGATTTAAACTGAGCCAGCAGATGTTTTTGTCCGTCTTTAACTAGAAGAAGTATCAGAATAAATCTTTGGTCGATTTAATCTGAGCCAAAAAAAGCTTAAAAGAAACGTTTGTCATGTAGATAATCACCTCGTCCTATTTCGGGAATTGATCTACAATCTGTTTGTTGGTAAACATGTCCTGTTTCGGGAGTTCATACCATTGGCGATAAAGATATTCGCCCCGTCCTGTTTCGGGGATTGATCTTCATCAGTTTTATTCTTCATAGATAGTTGCCCTATCTTGTTTCAGGAATTAATTTGTGGCTGGTTATCTAGATAGTTTCCCCATCTTGTTTCAGAAATTAATCGAGAACCTGGATTTTGTTGGCCGCAGAGATAGTTTCCCCGTCTTGTTTCGAGAGTTAATCTCTGACCTAGTCACATATAGATAGTTGCCCCATCTTGTTTCGGGAATTAATCTTGGACCTGTTTGAAAATTGTTGATGATATTCGTCTTTTGATTGATCTTTCTTGAAAAGGTAAAGAGTTAGTTGTATGCAATGTCATGATATATGAAATGCATTGCGTAATGATGTTCTCAAAATAAATGAGATTGTGCTATACGTGTTTCATATGCATATGATGTGATGTATGAATGTGAAATATTGTCGAAGCGTAATTGTAAACCCGTGCAGTATCTTTGCTGGGAAAATAAATCCCTGACTATTGCTAGGATGAAGAGTATGTGTATCTTCAATCTTGTCTAGAATGCTTCCGTTAGGGGTTCCTACTTACTGTTTGAGGAAATTCTACAGGGGATGTTGATTTTTGTTTGGGGAGTAGAGTTTGGGAACCTTGGTCGTCCGTTGCTCTACTGGGAAGTCTATTTCTTTTATATCCTGACTGGGGATAAAAGAGATGGATAATCTTCCGACTTGTCTGGGGAGGATAAGGTTAATTAGTATCTGGTCGGATTCCAGGTTTTGCAGCAACTTTCTAGGGATAGTGATGACTTTTATGGGGAGAAATATTTTACCAGTGGTTAGATGGGGAATTTGTAGGTTGTTGGGGAAATAAACCTTGTTGGGGAAATACACCCTATTTTCGGAGATATGGTCTGCTGAGGAAACAAACTTTCTTGGGGAAATTGAATTTTCTAAAGAGAAGAACTCTTCCAGGTTTCTTTTTCAGTTTTGAAGGACAAAACTTAGCCGGGGAAAAGAATTTCCATGAAGTGTACTGATTGGAACTCCATAAGGAAATTATAGGGAAGAGATTATACTCCTCTATTTGCTGGAGTGATTTATCGGGGAGATTACGGGGAATGTACTCTTAATTGTAAAGACTACTATGTGGGGGTAATCTCATAGGAGTATCTCTGTAGGGATAATCTTATGAAAGTGACTTTGCGGGATTTATGGACAACTCGAGTGTCAGCCCAGTTCCTAGAATTTTGAGTAAATGCTTATTCCTGTTTTTATGCATTTATTTGTTAATAGTTAATCATGTTCATATGCATATGTTCATTCAATTTAGTCATTGGACATTTTTGCAAACAAACATTAAAAACAAAATTTTTGAACTTCAAGGTGTATTTGTATTGATATTTTGCCTATAAACATGCAATTTTGTACAAAGAGACGCAAATCCTTGTAAGAGGAAGTCGTTGTTAAATGAAAAGAGTACAAAATGAAAACAAATATATATAGCCATGTGGAAGTGATCTCATTGAGTTCCAACTCCGGTATTGCCCCTATGTCTTTGAACATCTCATCCCTTGTTGTCAGAAGAAGTTAATTGAATTGATCTTGTACCATTTGAACTTTTGACCTTGGTAATAAAGCTGGTTGTAAGTGATCCAACAGGACATAGTCGTATGCTTTAATCCCTAACTTTTTCCTGGACCATCCTTTCGGATTTTCAGTCCACCAGGATACCCTTTTTTCCCAAGCCGCCTTTTCAAGTTTTCGACTTGCCAGGTGTACCTCTTTTGTATATATCCCTAACTTTTTCCTGAACCTTTTTGGTTCGCCGGGATGCACTTATTTTTGCCTAGGTATGTCAACCTAGCGGGTCATTTTTATGTATAGTATTTTTTTACTATGTATGTGTTCACAGGGTGTGGGAAATCTTCACCATCCATAGTGGTCAGTATCATAGCACCGCCCGAGAATACTTTCTTGACAACAAATGGCCCTTCGTAGGTGGGAGTCCATTTTCCCTTGGGATCACCTTGTGGTAGAATGATGTGCTTTATCACCAAATCACCATCCTGATATACCCGATGCTTGATCTTCTTGTTAAAGGATTTAATCATACGTTTCTGGTACATATGTTCGTGACATATAGCAGCCAGCCTCTTTTTGTCAATCAAATTCAACTGATCCAACCTAGTCTGAATCCACTCATCTTCGTCCAAGTCTGTATCTTTCATAATCCTTAGATAAGGAATCTGAACTTCGACAGGCAGGATAACTTCCATGCCATAGACTAAAGAGAACGAGGTTTCTCTAGTTGATGTTTGTGCCGACGTACGATAGCCATGAAGAGAAAATGGTAACATCTCATGCCAGTCATTATAGGTTACCGCCATTTTTTGCATAATCTTCTTTATATTCTTGTTAGCAGCTACCACTGTGCCATTCATCTTAGGTCTGTATGGAGAGGAATTGTGACGCTTGATCTTGAACTGCATGCAAAGTTTAGTGATCATGGTGTTGTTGAGGTTGGTGCCATTGTCAGTGATGATTCTCTCAAGGATACCATACCTACAGATGAGGTTATGCTTGATGAATCGAGCCACCACATTATTGGTAACTGAGGCAAATGAAGCGACTTCAACCCATTTTATGAAGTAGTCAATGGCGACAAGAATGAACCAATGTCCATTAGAGGCAGGTTTCTTAATTTCTCTAATCATATCAATGCCCCACATTGCGAATGGCCAAGGAACAGTCATGACATTCAGGGGAATCGAAGGCACATGAACCTTATCAGCATAGATCTGGCACTTGTAACAAGTTCTCGAGTTGTGATGACAATCAGTTTCCATAGTCAACCAATAGTAATCAGCTCTCAGAATCTTTCTAGCCATAGTGTGCCCACTGGAGTGAGTACCAAATATGCCTTTGTGCATATCTTCCATAATTTTATCTG